GATGATGGTAGGAGGTGGGGTGGAGAGGTGTGGAGGAGGAGGTTGTGGGGGGTGGTGGTGTTGGAGAAGACACACAATGCATTTGTCAGGTCAATCATAGAAAGACACATTTGTTGGAAGTGACACCACACATTGTTAAAAAAAGGTTAACCAGCTACTGCATTTATCACCTGCTTTCAGCATTATTACAAAATAGAACAAAATTATATTTTCCAGAAACTTGTAAGTACAAACGACTCTGTTTCAACTGAAACTTGCGGGACTACCATATTTTATTTGATCTAGCTGAGTTTTTGAGTTGGAGAGAATTGCTCAAATAGCGATGATTGTTGACAGCGTAGAGTTGAGAATGCCATGATTGCAGCAAATTTTGCTTTTGTTCTTGCTCTTGTTTCAGGAAGCAACATCCCTGCACTCCGGACATGTCCACTGATGCTCCGTTGCTCTCTCCAAAATCTTGCCGAGGGTCCCTCTACTGATTGCGCCAGTGCACATCTGGTTGAACGTTCTTCTGTTCTTTCCTGCAAGGATGCCAGATTTTCCGCTTCCTTTTTTTATTCCCAAAAGCATCATCCTCTCCACGGCAGTACTGGCCTCTGCCTCCCTATCCTCCTCCTCAATCAGCTGGCGAGAGAGACATTTCAGGATCTCGACCCTATCTGGTTGAACCGTATTGTCAACTAAGGTGGCCTCACCAGCCAATTTTTTTGCTTTTGGAAAGTTTGTTCTAATCTATCCCTTTTAGAATCTGCAATTTGAGCTGCAGGTTGCATGCATTGTGCTTTCTCTTTGACAATGTCAGCTTGTTTATGCTTCCAAATAACCACACAAAACAGACAAAAGAGTAGACGAAATAATTTTGCAATAGTTCGTGCCCAACTGAAGGTTGTGAAAAAGATGTACATTCACTATTCTTGCACCATTAAACTGAAACACAGTGTGTAGCTCTATTGTTGTGCGATAAAGATAGGCTAACAATAGGCCTACACTGGCGACGTCTCTCTCTGGCTCGTAATCTACGCACGTGTTCGCATGTCTTTTTATTCTCTTTTTGCTATCATGAAAAGCATTCAACTTCATGATTTGCATTACTTGACAGTTGCTGCGAAGATTTAGACAAAATAATCCTTGAAATTCTTGTCGGTTGGAAATGGGAGCATTTCGGCTTCACTATAGTTATCTTACAAAGATAAGTAATTTAAAAATCATGCTCGGTTTCAGCGGACTTCACGATATTTGTAATATACAGTATAGTCTGGTTATATTAAATACAGTTAATCCATAAGCACAGGTCAACCAAACGAAAAGAAAATCCCTGATTTTTTTTACATTCTATTTGAGCAAATTGAATACCCACCAAAACTGAACAAAATCCAACTATATTTGGCAGATTAGTGGACTCCACTGTATTTACAAAGCTGTACAAATTTGGTCCATTCAGATTTCACGAGGAACATAATTCTTTTTTTAAAACACTTTAACAATATCATCCTTGAAACAGTCTTGAGAAATTGTAAAGTAAAAACGGCTCCACATTTCGCCTCAAAAATCTTCTTCAGGAACAATTTACAGAGAGTAAAGCTAAACACACACACAGACACACACACACACACACACACACACAC